GGGTTAGTGTTCCAATCTGAATTAAAAAAGGATGGATATTAGGGATTCTAAGCTCACCTGTATATAAGCGCGCATTTTCACTTATCTCATTTGAGGAAAAGATATTTAGCAAGCCAGGAAACGTCCGATTTTCAGTAAATCGTTCAAGAATAGAGCACAAAAATGATGTTGGAAAAGACGTATTAATTTATGTCTTACTGCAAATGCCGCAAAATTGCATTAAAATAAATGTTGAAACAGTTTTGGAGGGAGCCATGCCCCCCCCCCCCCCTCCCTTGGCTACGCCTATGGAGTGCGATCCTCGCGGATTCGAACGCCCAAAGTATCTATCTTCTTTTCTCGATATATGCGTACTGACGACTGGCATAGGAAAAACCACAGATAATATATGGCATACTGATATATTTCATCCTATGTCACAAGACGTATTTGTCCCTGAAGCACTTAAATCCACTTCACGCGGTCGACTTAGTCACGTCATTCGAGTCTACAATCCAAACTAGTACGTATCTGCATAAACACCAAACTGAAAACATTGAAGTCAAATTGTCATTAGCAAAACCAACTATACTGGATAGACTGGGTTTTGTTAACTTATTTTCATACATTGAATAAAATTTGTGTCAGCTGCAGTGAAATGATTTTTTTCTAGGTAAGTTTTAAGTAACGGTCACCGAACATACGATCCAATTCTTACAGAAGCAATTGCCAATTACAACGAAAGGGTGAAATGAAAACCGACTGTAAAGTAATGTAGGCAAAGGTTGAAGATGAACAGAAAGGAGGAATATAGTCTGCTACATGCAATTTATTTGATAAGACGGGAATGGAGTTAGATATATAACTGTGGATAATGGCACCTTGAATATCAGAATATTGAACACGCATCAACTCAATCTAGCGATATAAGTGATAATGAGATTTACGTTAGCATACTCAATAGACCTATACAATAACCGGTTTCTAGATCAGGGAGGGCCAACCTATTTTCGACTCAGATCGACTAAAATTTTCGCAATACAATGAAATCGACTGATTGATATAAATTCACCCTCAAATTAACATTAACACGGATGTTCTTACATTACTGCTACTGTTGCGAATAAAATTTATAGCACTCCAGAGTAGTCAAAAACTTTATAATGACGAAGAAATTAAGGGCAAAGTGAAATTATAGATTATAGAATTGTTTGTATAGATAAAAAATCTCTGTTCGTTTCTAAACCTTCACAGCCACATACTTATATTTGTTACGTTTTAATCTGTTTCATCGGCTTGTCCCCAGACGTATCGTCTTTTGGGCATGGTGAATTGTAGTCGATGACAAGTTGGCTCGAAATCATACGTGACCGGTCGATCGCGATTGACATGATATATAACCGCTGCGGAGTAATTCAACCGTGATATTATATACCAACAGAACCTTAAATCTTTGTAATTTTGTGAACTTGGCGAAACTAATTAGCAGCTCTGCGGAAGTCGTTAAGCGATGAAATGACATTTGCGAAATAATACTTACCATATACAACATAATCGGTGTCTCCAAAATGTCGTGTCCCACTTGTACCACGTGTCCCACTTGTCCCACATGTCCAACTTGTCCCACTTGTTCCACGTGTCCCACGTGTACCACATGTCCCACTTATACCATGTGTACCACGTGTCCCACTTGTACCACGTGTCCCACTTGTCCCAAGTGTCCTACTTGTCCCACTTGTACCACGTGTCCCACTCATCCCACTTGTCCCACGTGTGTCACTTGTACCACGTGTCCCACTTGTCTCACGTGTCCCACTTGTACCACGTGTCCCAACTGTACCACGTTTCCCACTTGACATGTGGGACACGTGGTACAAATGGTACAAGTGGAACACGTGGTACAAGTGGGACACGTGGTTCAAGTGGTACAAATGGGACAAGTGGAACACGTGGTCGTGGTACAAATGGGACAAGTGGGACACGACATTTTGGAGACACCCCAATATAATTACCTATGGGACGAGTGCTAATCAAGTATAGTATACGATCAATTTTATCTGGAACATATATCCGGAAGCTTTTTGCTATACATGAAAGATGTTTGGAAATACCATGGGATTATTACAGTAGTGTGTGACCTTGTGTAGCAGAAAGTATATACTCTTGGATGAACGTGTTTTCAGAGACTTCGAGAAACCTAAAACTAATCGTATTACAGGCTCGAAAGGCGAGCATATAATGAAACATTTGTCTTTGTCTCTTGTCAAAACACGTTGTACAAGTTGGCTCACATTTAGGCATTGGAAAGTTTAGAACAACTTGATGACACAACAAATTGATTAGGTAAACGCGGAATTGAAAATTAGTCTTCAGAATTTAGGACTATGTGAGAATATGACACGGAAACATGACTGTGTACAATGTACGTAACCTGAAGAGTTGTTAATTTTAGTTACGTGTCTTGAAAATTGATTGATTAGTTTGGATAATCTTATTAAGTTTGTATCCGTTCCAAGTTGATCATGAAATTTTACGTCATGTAATACATCAGTAATTTTTAATGTATCGTTTACTATAAACGTCAAAATAGTAAGGCTATGTATGTAATTTGATAAGGCGCCGCGGCAGGTCCAGAATAAATGATATTTTGTAATAATTTTTACAGGAGAAATACATTTTTATATTGACAGGTTTGAGTACTCGCGAGGAAATTGGCATAATTATACATTCATAAATACAAGAAGGATAGATTCAGTATAGTCTGGATAATGATAGTCTTGATATATATATATTAATAATGCCAGGTGTCCGGTGACCTAAGACTCAGTTAGGTCCTATGGCTATGCTATTTATGGGTATACTTACATCACCAGCAATATTTATAAGATGTCTACAAGGTAGAGCTAGTTTATTTTCTTTCTAGAGGCCAAGGAGTACTGCAGATCTTTCTACCTTTTATTCGATTTAATAAACGACCTTTTCCTTATAATATTTTAAAATCCGTGTAGGTTTATACTTTTTCGTAGATTTACGAAGATTATACTTCATTTTAAAGTTTTCTATGAGTTAATTTGAAAGAACTCATCATTTATTTATGGCAGTTGGAATGACTCGTCAAACGGGAGCCGCTAAGATTTTTATCGTTTTCATTCTTTGTTCGCTGTTTGTGCAATTTATACTTAATTACCTGGCAGCCCTGCGCATCGTATATTTCTTTGTGGATCACCGAATATGGAGCATCATGAGCACAAAGTTCATTTCAACTCAAAATTTGTAACAAGTGTTGTAAAATGTTATTATCGCTTATATGGCTGAGATAAACTGATTGTTTTTATTTGTATATGTCCGATTCATGCTTGGTCACCCGAGACAGCGATTACCAATTTGAATGCACATAATAATGAATAATACATTAGATATATTCGTATTGTATAATTCAAAATGAAGCGATGCGTATAAATGCGCCGTAACGGTATTAATACAACGATTGATTTCAGTATTCTGCTGTTAGAGATTGTCATTACCAGTATCTTCGTTTAGTTTCTTTGTTTGTTAATGTATTGGCAGCGTATCTGTACTCATGGTGTCTAAGAAGCTCAGTTATTTCGTTATGAATTTCCTGTTTTTTCATCAGAATTGATATAGGTACATATTGACAACAAATTTCAAGCTTGAACCTAGGGAAAGAACTTTCAACTCGGGTTCTAACTTGAGTTAGAAATGAGAAAAAAAGGGTTAGTTCTCATCAACATTCAAATGAGACATTTTTGTAGAATAGACAACCGAACGTAATTGAAATTAATAAAGCCATTTCGTTGATTGTGTATTTAGAGTATTTTGAAAGCATGTGGCTTTATATAAATAATACATTGGATTAAGGCTGAGTTTTGTGCCTCGTGTTGGCCCATTGCAGCGTGTTATGTCGTAACCATTCTTCTTCATAGCTAAAGGTTTTCATACAGCCAACCAGTGAGGCGACGATAAGTTAAAACTGACATCTGAGTAAAATATGACTCGATGCGATAAAGACGGTTCACAATGATAATATAAATACGCAACAATGAAAATGTGAAATTTCAGTTAGTTGATTCTGAATTGTTAGAATTGCCTCAAAAGCATTCCTGCTGAAAAAGCCATTTGATGACATATATCCACTTGATGTCGCGACTGAATTGTACGAAAGATTTATGGATAATAGGCCTTCATTCGCAATTGATTCAACATTGATTACCTTGCGAAAGTACTCCGAAATGATGAAATATTCCTCAGAATTGCCTTCTCGACTCATCATCGAGCGATTTGTGGTCAAAATTAGATTTCATCGATCAATCAACACCTTCCAGTTGGCGCCGCTTTCGTTTCAAATATCACTTCATGAAATATGTATAAAATTGTTTGCAAATTAACATTTATAAGGTCTCTGGACGACTCTCGTGATGAAACAGTACACACCAGTGCGTATGGATAGCTTTCGTTAGGACCTTGCTTATTTTAATGTAAACTAGAAAAAAAAATTTTCGTGATAATTTTGTAACTATTCGTTGGAGAACTGGTGTTCAACTAAGTGGTAAATTTAGCAACGCAAAACATGATTGTGCATCGTAAAAATTGGCCGTTGTCATCATAAAAATCGTCGTCACAGTCGTTGCTTTTTACATGGGTATGGTCGTTATGAGAAATTAATTGTTCTTTTGTGAGCTATTTCATGTTCAAGAGAATGAGAGATAAATGAAATGTTCAAAATGTTTAATATTTTGATGATAGCATATTAAAGAGCTAGCCGTTGCTCTACTGGAAAATGGTAAATTCCAAGGTGGTGTCGATTTTAACGCAGGGTGATAAATGCTAATTTTTGTGTATTAGCTACCTATTTTTTTTTAAATATAAGATCTTGTGAACTATCTTCTCTTTCATTTTAGAATTTTCGTTAAACGGCTTTTCCTCTTTGTTAGTACCAGCAAAAACGCTGAAGAACGTTTCAAAATTATCTTTAAACTTATATTTTATTTATTATTAAAGCTTAAATAATTAATTAAGCTAATGTTTTCTTTATCTGGAGCCGTCAAAAGTAGATAAAAACAAAATTTCAACTCAGAGGTGGGCGAGAATTTGAATCTAATCTAGAGATCAGATGACCTGTACGTCACAAGCACACAAGACTTCTAAGACTTTATTTTACATTTGAGGTAAAAGTCATTCTTTGAATGGCAAAAGTTTTTCACGCCATGGCAGATTGCAAACCAGATGCCGTGGCGTATACAGCACTTCGAAGGTGTCCGCCTTCTATAGTAATTGAAAGTGAAGACGACGTTCCGAATGACGCAACAGAAGTTGACTACATGAATCGGAATTCGAGAGACAATAACACTGAAGGAGTATTGTTCCACGCTACATCACCGCAAGTAACATTCACTAAAGGAAGAAATAGAAAGAGCATGCAGGATTTGGCCGACTCAGATTCAGCTGAATATATTGATGATTGGGAAGAAAAGGTGATGAAAATTTTGTCGTTATTTTTAAAATACATAAATATTAGTGTACGAATTAAGAATAACGAATTAACTTTTGTAGAAAGCTCCCGCCAAAAATTCGCCAACGCTCAAAATAAGAAAGATAGTAATTACCCAGTATAAGGCTTAGGAATGCAGATTGCACTGGAAATTCAAATCCTTTCCAAATTTTACAGGATATTTAATGATTTCTCATTTTAAAACATGATGGGGGCGTTTTCTCAAATCTCGTTTGTGCATTCGTGGCGGGGGCTTTGTACAACAGATCCAAAATCTAACTGGGCTCAAAATGTTTCCAATCTTTTGTGCTAAAGATTATGATCCGAGTACATCATTCAGCATGATGATCTAACTAGATGACTGAGTGCCATGAAGTTTTTATATTTAATTGGCACGAATCCCATTTAGTATTCATTCCGGTTCTAACAAAAACCACCTAATTTTACTAAAAGATTAGTAGTTTTTATTATCCTTTGTTACACAGTTAATTAAGCGACTAGTTTGAGAAAAATTTTGTTTATGAAAATTTAATGAACCTTATGATTCAGAGGTAGAGTGATGGTGATTATAGTTTTTCAAACTGTCTTTATACCAATCAATTCATATAACCATTCTATACCAGATTTAGCGTTGCCCCGCATATGAGACAATCCACCCAGGTGCTGTTTGTCGTTAAGAACTGTCATCATACGCGATAAAGTCTGAGATTTAATCGGTAAATTATCTCGAGTTACAGCGGCTTATGTTGATAATTGGAAATTGTTGTTAGATATTGTTGATTATGTGCTTGTTGGCCAAGTAACATGCGCTCCAGATTATTTGAAGATTAGCGATTTTATACTCAGTACGTCATTGACATGAAACAGGCTTACAAGAGAAAGGCAGTCATTCAAAAGGCTTTGAAGATTGAATAATTAGCATTAGTTTTCATAAAATTCCCATCCTTTGATAAATGTTTTTGTACAGCGTGGCATTTGCATGAAGATATACCGCACACCTCTCATGAATTTTACATATTATTTGTCGAAATTATTCACAGTTCTATTATGTTTCAAAAAAGCTTGATTGATTATGCAAACAATTTTAGCGATTGTCTATTTCTTTTATTTTGTCCTTATATTATCCTTTAACAAGTTGAAATTTTCATGGTTTCTATTAATTTATTTCGAAACATTGGTAAATTTTGTATATTACTGAACAAGAGAGCCAAGATCAAATATATGTGCACGGCACGAAGGTCCAATAACTAACCGCAATGCCGGTAGCCTACGCGACTCATGCGGAAATGTGTCTGAGCAACGAGTTCGCAAAATCAAAACGGACATCCTTGAAGTAGGCCGACACGCTTGGAGGAACTGATTTAGGCCAACAACAATCTTCCATCACTGAAAATTTCAAATCAATTGGTCCAGTATTTAAAAAGAAAATCGATTTTAACAACAACAAGAAAAAGAAGACTAATAACAGCAAAACGACCCATAGGTCCATTTCGTGTCCAATAGGATGTATAACAGACTTGGTACTTGATGTAATTGATAGTGTAGATAAGGAGTGTTATCCTGGATGGATTGAAATGCCTCCGTATGAACGTAACCCCATTATTCAAAGCATAATAACCTTTCAGTAGCAGACACTGTTCCATTATTCAGTTGATTTTGTCTGGTACTCTGTGGTTATCCGATTTCCATTAGTGACATTTACCTAATTCTAGTTCGGACTAATAAGTTTATCTTATCAAATACTTTCATCCCAGTATGAATTAGCAAGCCCGACACGCGAGAGAGTTTAAATATATTCAGGCAGATTTATTAGCTATTTGCTACTTTGTAAGGAAATATCTTGATTTTTATAGGGCTAACATTGTAAAGTAATCATTATTTAAATTTCAGATTACTTTACAACACATTTACGGTATTAAATCGAATACCTGACATAGAATTCGCACTGTTTTTGTCTAGGAATATATTTCACAGATTCTGTATTGTACGGTTGTGATATACCACCTGGCTGAAATCCTTTCAATTTTATATCGTCAAAGTCTTCACGCTGTGGTTTTGGTGGGATTAAACCATCGAAATGAAGAATAAACAATTCGATGCTGAACTCCTCCGAAATATTTGATAAAATTCTAAATTTGATAAAGTTCAAAGAACATTTGCATCTTGTTTCAACAATAGTAAGCACTTAAATTTCACGCCAATTGTAAATAGGCTTTTGATATTGTATACCTGTCAGAAGTTAGCCGTGGTATATTTTTCATGTGCCAACCAAGTATCGCATTTGAACGAGTATATACCTTTATATTATACTGTTCCAGTAAAAATGATTCGTACTTTAAAACCTTTTTTAACCAGACATAAATAACCGACCCTATTTTGATTCGAGATGTGATACATTGCTTGTAGCAGTAAAATCCTCAATACGAGAAAGAGATAGCAGTGGGTTATTACTCTCACAAGAGGCAGTATAGATTCGACTTACCGCAGTAACAGTTAAGGCCATATTAAAAATGATATGTATGTGCCGATTCCGATATAAACTCTTGTGTAAGTGTAATAATACTTTTCAATTTCGAATTTGGTGAGCAGTCATGAAAATATATGTATAAAAATTCATAAATTGAAAGGACCTACAATCTCACTTTTTCGAGAACATCTTGAATGAACATTTTAATAAACATCTCGGTGTTTTGGAATTTAAGTATAGTTCAACCCCGGACCGTACTAACTTTCATATATTTATCAAAGTTACCTTCGACCTGGAAGCTCATCAATTTTTTATGATGACAAATTTTAGTTTCAAGTTTGAAGACTGTTTTGAAAGAAGCGTTAAAATCCCATTTCGCTTGCGGTGTGCCGAGGGTTAAAATGCTCGGTATCAGATTCGTTACGTATCGATCTTTTTGCTCCAGCAGAGAGTGAATCTAATCGACAAAGTATCTAAGCAATATTGCATGCTGCCTAAGCAATATCGTCTTTCTTTTGCTCTGCTCTCGGTTGATCGTATTAAGTTATGGTGCTTCGTTTAGAACTGAGTGATAAGCTGAAGACGAGAAGCTGAAGTTTATTTAGTCACTGTTGAATGTAAAACTCGTTCAGTTTCAATTAGTGACCATAGCCTACTGTAGGTATATATATATAGGTAATGTTAGATGAAATATGCCACAGTTTATATGTACGCTTCAGTACTTTATATTATGACGTGTATAGGAAATATGATCATATGAAATTCGTTTTTGTTTTGACGCAGATTATAACAAGAATCGCGTTGAAAATATTTTCGCCAGTTACCACTTAAATGGGAAATAAGCCGATACGTCAAAAGCGTATTAAATGTACAACTATAGTACAAGTTATTTGCATTGAATAAATATGTAGCCACAAGAGGTTCGATTGGGGATCTTATGGGTATATGAAAACATTCGGGAGCTCAATTGCAAGTGCATGTTTATATGAGAACAAATAAAATAAATTAGCGTTTTTAAAATGTTGTACTGCTTCGACAGATAACTTGAGAGATTGAGGGTTTTGATGTCTGCCTATCCTGTTATTATAAGTCAATATAGTCGTCCTATTTTCATATTTCCACATTATCATAAGTTTACCGTTGCTATTTGTGCGGCATTTTCTCACGGCATCGACCTGTTCGCAGTTTAATCTACGTCAATAATAATTATATGAAATCAAATTCTCTGCATCTCATTAGGTAGTCGACGACGTAGAGTCGTTATGTTATTGCATAATTACTATGCGATAGATCAGCTAAACAAACAACGGGACGGACAGCGAGCGTAAAAGTAATTATTTATGTTTGAATTCCTTTGGTTGATAAACCAATCGTTGGAAGCGTTTTGTTTATCTCATATTTTCAGGTTTTAATTAGCCTGTGTGTAACCATCGTTGAAAGTGAGGTAGGTTTGGATAAAACAATGGTACCAGTCTAAGGCAAAATTAATTGTGGATCTTGGGATTTTAGTAAAGCACGTAAATGTATTTCGGGTTCTGAGAGCTATTTCAGTCAGTCTCATTTCATTGTAAGAAAGAGTCTTATTTTAAAAATTTCTAATATTTGACAATCAGAAAATCAGCATTCTTGATGATCTATCTACCTTGTCCATCACTACATTTCATTCTCTTTTATTAAATTATTTTATTTTCAAATCATTGCAGGATTATCGTGATTCGGTATCATCCGACGGTTTCCGTACAAAAAGCTCTAATAATATAATGGTTAAAACATCACCGTCTGAACGCGAATTAAAAAACGACGTCGATAGAAATTCACCTCGCTACGAAAATCATGGCTCAAGACCTACAACGGGGAACAGTGGGGACGGTATTTCAGAGTAAGTAAATGTAATACAGTTTATCAGTTTTATATATATATATATGCAGGAAGAATTATCTATTTATCTCATTTGCTACGAACACAATCCCTAATAGCCATCATAACTGTTTGCTTGAATTTTTTTTCCTATTCGACCAATGTCTAAAATTTCGACGTATGAACAATCTTGAAACTCGAATTTTCTTCGTTGCCAAACATCCTACGATTTTCGAACATTACGGTCATATTTTTTTGCTTAGGATTTAGTTCTATTCTCGTTTGCCCATATGCTTTGTTTTAATTTATGAAATACGTACTGGCTTTAAATTAAGATAAGAAAGACATGTATTGAAAAATTCCATTGTGTATTTCAATAGATGGTTTGCTATATGAGGTTGACATAAACTTGGCAACCTCTCCCTTGATAATTTAGTTTCATCATAAACATGTTATGTACTTTTGAAGCGATCTGAAAACTTCCAACTGTCAGCATTAAGCTCTTTTGTCGCGTACAGTTCACATATTATGCAGCCATATATGTCCCAGTGGAATACTGGAATTTCTTGTCGGTTTTTATGTAAAGTTGATAAAATTGACAGGCCCTCTCTCGCAAACACGCCTCCTTAGTATTTTGTGGGCTTCATTTGGATCTATCCAAAACATTAATAATTTATAGTTATAGACGACGAAATGTGAAAAATATAATGAGATTTAATTTAGATGTCCGATGTTAACAATATCGAGAAAAAACAATACAAAATGGTGCAATCGCAGGCCTTCATTTTATGGGTGACCGTCCAGTCATGATTGTCTCCAAATACACAATTCCAAAATGCACTCCAATACCCCAATTAATGCTTCACTGTAGGTAAAGGAAAGGATTTATTTCTAAATTATACTATACGTCCGCCAGATAATACGCAAGCACCTGTCGAGCAACAATTATGTTATTTTCCACTCTCTTTATTTTGAGAAGCTGGTCCAATTAGATAAACCGTATCATTTTTTGTGATATTGGCGTGCATATATAATTTATTACATGTTCAATTAATTCTTTTTGTTTAGATTAAACCTTTTTGTATTTATTTTCACCAATACCGTTATTGGCCTCCTACGCGGGCAGGCTACTCTACTGGCGACTGTACCAAATTCTAATAAAAGCGCGTAAAGTCAAAAAAATATTCTAATCTAACGACAAACCTTCATTAGCCAAAATTTGAGCTAACGGTTGTAATTTTAATTTAGTCTACAGCATACTCTTTTATGCAGTTTCACGACATTCGCTGAATTATTAAACTCGAACAGTAGACTTATTTGTATTTGAGATGTGTAACGTATGGGGAGACTACAACTGCTCTATATTGTTTATTCATTTGGATCGTGGTTTAACCTTATACAGGAACATTCTATGCAAATTACGTTTCACGTTGCAAATTAATGCTACATTTTAGTTAAATTTTCAATGCATATAAAGATATAATATTCGAATTTTCAAAAATTCTGTTGAAATTTGTAACTAATATGCTCGATTTCATTTTTCTTATTTTGTATTTATTATAATATATTCTAGTTATTAGAGATAATTACAGCAACAAGAATTATAAAAGTTCTCCATCTTCCGCTACCATCGTGGCCATTAGCAATGAAAAAATTATTATTCTGTTTAATCCAGAATGAATGTTTTAATGTTTGAATTTAATTTGATATCATATTTATTTTGATTAATTGTATGAAACCTATTTTTATTTTCTGTGATAAATGTATGTATACCATAGCAAATTTTTTCATAACTTTTCATCTTGAAGTTTTACACTTTGTTTCCGGTATATTTTTCCCTATGTATTCAACACAGAATTCTTAATGTTTGGCGTCTTTCAAATGGATCGAATGGCACCGTTCCAAATATTTGCTACTTTTGCATATAACGCATGTTTTACACATTACTTTGGAATTTCACCATCAAGATTTTTATCAGATTCGAAAGCATCCCGGCATGATTTCAACAAAAATTCAATTCATTAAAACCATGTCATGACACATGTCAGCTAGAAGTTCAATTTTGAAACAAATGTTACTTTTATTCAGGGTGTATTAAAAATGTCACTTTCCACAGTAGTCCCGTTGGTATCGCATTTGAATCACGTGCATTATTTGCCCACTGGTACCTACTGCTTGTTACAAAAATTAAATTATGCCAGATTCAAGTAATTGGGAGCAATTTCGTTTTTAATTTGTAACCGGAACATGAAAGAAGAATGATATGAATTGTTTTCTCATTCTCAGGGAATGGAGACATTCAAGACTTTGTGAATATCTTCGTGAACCAGATGTGGAATCAACAGTTGTTGTTGATCGAGTTTTAATGGCAAAAAAGAAGATAAGATTGAAAAAGAGAATTCAAAATTATATTTTTAATTTTCTTGAAAGGCCGACTGGCGTGAAATGCTTTATATATCACATGATTGTGTAAGTTGAGGTTTACTTTTATTGATCAAACCGGTATCAACTATAAATCAAACGCCTTTTCTTACATATTTCAATTATAGAGAAGTTCTAGAATTCTCTAAACATCCGTCGTTAGATATAATGCTCTGCATTTGTAACTTATGTTTTCTACTAAATTTTAGTTTTGGGGTATACCATTGCCCCGAGCGTGGTTTTTACAAGCATTCACCCATTTATTATGAGATCTTGCCAGATTAGTGGAATTATGCCTCTCGCTGTACTTCGACCAAACTGGACATTTCTGACGTCAGATGGCAGTATAGCTGGCCACATTACCAATAGATGTATAAATGTTTCTCGGTTTTGCTATTTTCTAGTCATTAAATTAGTCAAACTCTGCTTTAAAACTTCCATAAATCAATCTATTTGAGTAAAGCTTTGGGTATAGCTTTCAAAATTCATCTCGGATATCTGATAAAACATCATCGGTCACTTTCCATTTTCTTGACAATCGACAAAAAAAATTGACCTCACCTGACAAAATGAAAATGTGTATTAATTTATAAGCTTAACTTTTCGCAAAAATTTATCATTTATTTTTTTTTATGGAGATTGAAAGTGACAGATTTCAGATAACAAACTAGCGATGACTCTTGCCCTATTTTTGATTTGGTTCTCCATTATTGTAAACTAGCTTTTATACCTCAGTACTTACCGTCATCAAGAATCAAATTTCATAGCGAATCCCTGTTTCTCTGTTTATTATAGTTGTTTTTAGAATCGATCATATCATCTTTATCCGTATTTTCAGATTTATGATGGTTTTAGCTTGTCTAATATTCAGCGTTTTATCGACTGTCGAAGACGCGGACGAGAGAGACTTTCCTGTCTTATTAATTATGGTAAGCTTGTGAATTTTTGGAGGTAATATGTCAGAATCACTTGCTAAGATGGGATTGACACAAAGTGTCATCGAAAATTATTATACACTTCCCATATCAGACGCATATTGCACCTAGAAGACCACACTGAATTAATGCAGGGAGTTTTTAAAAATGCTTGCAATATTTTCTTTTAAATAGATTTCTATAACTAAAAAATGACTGTCAAGTATATATCAAAAATGTGTGATCATTACAATATGAGGTAAACTTCACACGAATTATACAACATTGTCTTTTCTTTTTCTAAAGCATTTTCTACGATTAACAACGAATTCTGAAGCAATTGTTATTTGTACATGGTTGCAATTTAGGCTACTTTTAAAAGCACTTCGTGCCTGAGATGTCAAATGTTGTCTTTTGCTTCACTTGGATGCCGATAATTGTCTAAATTAAAATATGGTGTTAAATTCCACACGTGCGACGTATCCATTACAACGGTTAAGATCGCTGCACATCGCATTGGTTATAAAAAAAAATATTGCAAAAAGGCATTAAATTACTAAATTTGCATAATTAACCTCTTTCATGCAAACTCTTTTAAAACACTATACGCTAACGGTGTAACGGCAAGTTGATGCCATTCGTGAAGTAACAAAGTTTTCTTTGGCTTGTCTTCAGCCTGGTACAAGCTTAAAATCCAACTATTGTCCATTTATATTTTTCAACGATAATGTTGTCAGTCTTACGAGCCACTTTAATTTGTATTTTTTACGTTGTCTTGTGTAATATGCATTATTCAAGGCGACAAAATTGTTAATTTCAGGAATGGTGCGTTGTGGTTTTCTTTGGTATTGAATATTGCGTTAGGTTATGGGCGGCAGGAAGTATTGGGAAATACAGTGGCTTATATGGAAGACTGCGATTCGCCAGGAAACCTATTTGTCTAATAGGTAAGTCACCTAACCTTTCAATTTTATTTCAATTTATATGTTATATGAATGTCACTTGTCACGATTATTTGGCTTTTATTCGTCAATTTTCGCCGCTGAGCGGTTTTAATATCATCTCCGCCTCATGTTAATTTTAGTACTACAGGATGTATTCAAATCATCAAATATAAAAATGAAACATTCGTCATAATTCAAGTAAATATGTTATTCTGGTCTCTGACTAATTTGAATAAAAATATATTACCCTGTTTCATGAATACAGCAAATTTGGTTCAGTGTTCACTTTTCTTACTTTTGTATGCTCACCATTATTTCATCCTATGCGCAAAAAATATTTATACCGTGTGGAATCCCCTTCACACAATCAAGATCTTCCAAATGTCGAATCTTGATTTTGTTTAAATTTTTATACTGTGCAATAACACAAACAAAATTTGCTTTTCAGATTTATTTGTTGTTATTGCCTCCACTGTGGTTTTATTATTCAGTCAAAATGGAAATGTTTTTGCAACCTCAGCTATAAGGTGGGTGGGTTGATTGCCTTCATATATTATTAATACTGTTTTTTTCCAAATTGTGGAATATATTATCAAACTGGCTTGCTGCTCCCCTGATATACTACATAACTTCCCATGTGTTTTCTACCACTTTAGCAGCCTCTGCCTTCAAACACAATTTTTAACGTTTGTTCAGAATGTGACAGAACAGTGTTCGACTGCCGGTCACTCACTGGTAAATGATATTTCGGACCTCCTGAAGTATGCGCACCAAGATGGCGCACAACCTGAACGAACTCGGTTGTGTACCAGGTTAGGGTTCAGGTTATGCGACATCTTGGTGCGCATACTTCAGGAGCACCGATATTTCTTTAATGCCTTGCTTGTTTAATTGTAAACATTTTTCCAAATTTTGATAATGTACTAAGAATATATACACAATTCTTTCAGGGGGATAAGATTTCTTCAAATATTAAGAATGTTGCATATGGATAGACAAGGAGGAACGTGGAGACTATTAGGTAATATATTGTCTATCTAGACCACTGGTTCTCAACCAGTGGGCCATGGCCCACTGCTGGGCCACAGAGACATTTTCAGGCGGGCGGGCCACGAACCTATCGAATATAGTTGAATATAGCGTTTGTATTAGCGGTTTAGACTCTTGATAACAGATTTTATTGTGCAATTTGTAGAAGTGTTATATGAATGTAATAGATTTGGATAAATTTATTTACCGCAAGGCATATCAACATCAACAGATCGATATGCTTTCGCGGCTGCTTTTTCAGACCAGCTGAGCCTTATACGATGATCATAACAATATTAATCTCTAAATCTTTCGATCCTGTCTTCATTTAAATTATCTTTTTGCTATAAAAAAAAATCAATCAATCTGAAGTACCGTATTTATATTTACTTCCAGGAAGTGTCGTTTACATTCACAGACAAGAATTAATAACAACTTTATATATTGGATTTCTTGCGCTTATATTATCTTCATATTTTGTCTATCTTGCGGAGAAACCTGATAAAAGTGATAACAGTAAGTGTTTCGTTATTATTATACTTATTTAAATTAAAAAAATATGCATGAAACCAACAAACGTAGTAAATATTTGCAAACGTTTCAGCTATGTAACATTGGGGTTGTTTCAATTTTTTGAGATTTGTTGTATGTCACACGGTTTCTAAACATTGTAAACGATGTTAGTAAGAATTGCACAAAGAATTAGCTAAAAGGAGAAATGAGTTTTGTGTCAAATTCTTGTCTCTCTCTATTCCCTTGACATTTTGTACAGAATATTAGTATGAGTGAACACTTCAAAACAAAACAGCAATATATACCTGGAACATGAATCCTATTATTCCCGGTAGATTTCGGTATTTTAAGAAACAAAGTCCACCTCAAAAATTTTTCTCCCAACTCTGAACATTTTCAAGTCGTCATAAATTTATTTAAAAAAAAAAAATTTGGACAAAGTTATGTCAATCATGGATAGAGATAACAATGTACTAGTTTTTGCTGAATCGTTACAATCTTCAACATATTCGCCAAACTAGACCGACAATGCACTATATTTCACTAGAATCTCTTATTAAAAGCTTTGTAGCATTCTAAGTTTGAATTAAATATGGATATTATTTAGAAATTCCACTTATAATAACATGAAACAAAAACATTGGATATCCTAGTCAAACGAGACTGTTTCGGCAGTGGTGATTTAAAACACGCCCTCACATAAATATAAATGAGTAGCCCTTTGACGTTATTTTACAACTTTATAATTGACGCTGTAAAGTTCATGCTCCCGGATTTGATGAGAAATGGCATCTTAACCAAGATCACGTTGCCGGATAAGTCGTTCCTATTTTAACATGAGATAACTAAAAATTTTAGGAACTCTGAAATGCCACCATTTTGTTTATATGCACATGCCTCATACATATATTAGGCAAGCAGTGAGAATACTGTAAAATGTTAGTTTTTTTATACTTGGTTTGAAATTTAGCTGAAATTTTGGTGGCCATTTCAATCATTTGAGTTTCGTGTCTATATATGTTGTGCAATGCTCTCCTGTTTTTCATACATTTATGTATTATGTTACAACCACATAATTGAAGCTGACTTGTAAATAACCCCACACAACTTGAAACTTCAAAAGAAACAAAAATATCAGATCAGAAAACAGTCACATTGAAAAAGTTTCATCTGCACATGGTAGTAAATAGTATAATCAAGTAGGATAAAATCGATTATACCAACTCACTACTTTAGTGATGGGGGGAAAGATAACTTAATTATTAATAGAAGACGAACTTAATCATGTTATTACGTCATCCACAACCATCAAATACGGAAATAGGTAATTTGATTTGTATAGCTCTCGAAATAACATCACCTAATTTCTATACTAGTTACTTCAATTGAAATTGGAAATCGAAGTTATAAAATCGAGCAAGGAAGTAGGTTTGAAAATTACGCTGATGCACTGTGGTGGGGAGTGGTGAGTTCTAATTATATAACTGATTAATTTTGATATATATATCAGAAATTACTATTGATTGTTATATGATAAGCAATGTAAAATTGCATATGTTTGTATCACCAACAAAATACAGTTTTGTGGGTGAAACAACTGTGTCCATATCAAGTTTTGACATGGTAGAAAGCCTAAGTGTACTCATCCTGAATTGAGAATTATGCAACAAAATATCGGACTAATCGGATTTTTTGGAATAGCAAATTGAAAAGGAATACTTAGTTTAATTCGGGTACGAAAAACTCCTATATCTTGTATTTAACGTAGAAAGTGTGAATATAAATACCGATCGTTATTTTTATTGCATGTTTTGATAAAATATTTTGTATTTATATTTCAGGTGACGGTCACAACGATAGGCTACGGTGATTTCGTTCCAAAAACATGGCTCGGAAAAGTGGTTGCTTCCTGCTTTTCAATTTTTGCAATTTCTTTTTTTGCCTTACCTGCCGTAAGTAAGAGCAAATATACTTGGTCATTACTGCATCATATAAGATTAATTTTCATTCGGTTTCTCATGTCTTAGTTATCATATATCAATCTGCAGCTAAGTATACTAACTAAGTTTCAATTTGATCACTCGGGATACTATCTGTAAATTTATTCTTGCCATGGTACAGTCATCTTGAGTGCCTTCAGTATCTCTAATCACAACGATGATCACAATGTGTTGTATTGTTTTTTATTCAGGGTATTCTGGGTTCCGGGTTTGCCTTAAAAGTACAACAAAAACAAAGACAAAAGCAATTTAACAGACAAATACCGGCTGCTGCAAGTTTTATTCAAGCTGTGTGAGTTTATTAATTAATTAAGAAATTGTTTTTTTTATTGTACTGATGTTAATTAATAAATAGTTTTGAAACAAGAAACCATTTTTCTCTGAATTTTAACCGAAGTTTAAAAATATTTTGATCTATGTACGCAAAAAGCAAACATTTTTTTAATGTTTATTTATTTACACAACAGCGGTGGAATATTTGAATATACTAATCAAAATTTGCCTTCCAGTCATATTAATATGATAAGGCCACCTAGTTACTTGATATAACAAATGTTGTATAATAAAAATTTAGGCTAATTGTGGCATTTTATTCATTTTCCAAAAACTTTTTTCGAAGAATGAATAATGTGTCAGAAAACAAACAAAAAAAGACTATTTCTGTATTTCCAAAGTGTGCAAAAAAAAAATATATATATATATTATATCTGCACTATGTAATTTTGATGACGTGCTAGAAATTTGAATCTTTTTGCAAAAAATACCTGAATGCATTTGTAGATGGAGATGCTATTCAATAAGACGTGGTTCGAGATGTAAAGCGACATGGAAGTTGTATGCATTACCCACACGAAACAGACATGATTCAACTCTTTCATCATCTCGGTTAGCTAAATCGGCAAAAAAGGATCATCATAAATCAAAAATGATGGGAGACAAATTAACGGTAGCTAAGCCTACGTCTCCTTCAAGCTGGAATGACGTTATCGACGAAGTTATTACAAATAATGATCATGAAAGTTCAAGGTAAAACCCTGAAAAAAAAAATTACTAATCAATTCAGATCAATTGTATTGCTTGGGAATTTGTTAAAATGGCAACGAAGCTATACAATTTCAACATTTCTAACAATATTTTATGCAATATTTTCCTACAATGATTCGTGACTTGCTTTTACCACATACTCAGTTGTTAGCTCATTATATTTTGTAGTTGAAGTGATTTCCGTACCCCAATATATAGAGGGTCAACACCCCCCTAACATTTCACATCACACTCTAAGTCTTAACGTAAACAAAATTGTATTCGAATATCCAGAAAGTGACCTATATACCGGTGCAGATGATCAGTGAAATATATAACAATTTGTTTATAAGTTACACATAGGTTAATTACTAACAACATAAGATATACCCTGAAATATCACCCCCTAAATTTGGGAAAATGAAAAAAAAATGGGGAATATGCTGAGTAGACAATACTTAATGGTGCTTTTTAATATACTGTTTGTATTTTCTAGTTTGCCGAAATCCTACAAGAACGTTGTCAGAGCCTTACGAGTGTTGATATTTCTAGTCAGGAAGAAAGAGTTTCATGTATGTAAAATAACTCAGTATTTATATTGGTACTCCTGAAGTATGCGCACCAAGATGTCGCATATTCTGAACATAATTTGGTACACAACCTGAGTTTAGGTTGTGCGCCATCTTGTTGCGCATACTTCAGGAGGTCCTTTATATTTTTATTTCGGGCTTCGCTCATCGACTCCATACAGCTATAGCAAATATTTTTTGGCCGTTAATTTGATCCGATATTTATTCTTGGTGTCTTTAGATTTGATAAAATGTCACCCTTTCGTCTTTATAAACCATTAGATTTAAAATCCATAATGCCACCATATTTTTATATGCAAAACTGGAGAAATCTTACGAAACCTTCTTGCTAGTTGAATTATATTATAAACACCTTGGTGAACTTATTCCAGTTCATTTACTATATTGAGCGTATTGTGAAATGTTGTTCCTCTGGGATTAGTTATCAGCTGGAGAAAAATTTTCTGTATATAAAAGACTCGCTAAACAGAGGAACAAGTTTTCAGTTTAACAATTGTATACTTAATGGGTAACGGGCCTATAGCACAGTTATGTTTTTGTGATTATTACCGTTTGATAGTAAAAATAAAAAAGCAAACTACTCTGTTATTAAGTTGATCATGAAAATTTTTAGACGTGACAAATATAGTTATCTTTTTATATTATCTTACATAAAAATGAATATTTTTTTAAGTTGTAACATGCACCTTTTCGTGCTTGTCATTAATAATTCATTAGTTTAAATGTGATAATGTTGTTTTACCGGATGAAAGAAATCTGTATGAAAATCTCTAATTATGTGATTTGCTTTGGTTATCACAACATCTGGTGGGGTTTACGTGTTGGGCTCCTGTATGTGGTTTCGTGGCACAAACAATTTGAGATTTTCACATACAGATCTTATATCAAGAAGCTACTAAAAAGTTGGCAAAGACTAATCAAACTGCTAACATTCACAATTCCAAACTTTCGATAAGAGTTTCAGTGCAATTAGCAAGACAAACTCAATTAGGTGTTAATTAACAAGTACTGATTCCCATAAGCATTTAGTGTCAGACGGAGCATAGATGAAGCACAATAATTTTCAATTATATAGTACACATAAAAAGAAAGCCTATAGTTCCACTGATTAATGTTCTGATTCAGTCATTAGTTTTAGATAACACACCCCTCTTGTCAGTTAAGTCCCTGAGCCTGTGTGTGAAAACTGAGTGGTCTTAAGAAAAAAGTTGTAAGATATTAAATGGTAAGAAGGAAAAATCGTTAACACGATGTTGACAAACTAATATATAGTTGTATTTCTAGAAATATAAAAATATTCACGATCTTATTTCGAAATTTCATTGAAATTGATGAGATTCAAACGGTATTCGCTTAAGGAAAATTATGGTTATTTCTGTGACAAACTCCAATCACGCATCTCCTGGAACTTTGGTTAACCTGCTTGCGGCAGCCCAGCAAAAGTATGAAATAAAAAAAAAAACAATACCGTCCTAAATGCTACTAGTGGCTTTACCGGATTGATTTGCCCAATCAAGTCGTCTTGTAGTTTTCTGTTCAAATACCAACGATAGCAACAAAAACACTTTCAAAAGCGATTCCTATTTTTACTTCGTGTTTAAAACTGCAACCGAGCGAATTTATATCTTGGGTGTGACGGGAGTTACATGTTCATGTTACACTACGCAATAGGCTCCATTTTATAAACACTCTTTAATTAATTTGAAAACTAAAGCAGCAAAGAAGATGATAGACGAATATGAAAAAAAAAATACTACCAGTACATTATTCTTTGATGTGTCAGACTGTCAGTGTACCGACGGTATATGTAAAATCATTCGCTACCAACAAGCTAATTTGAATATAAATACCCTTTTATTTCTCAGCGTTAAATGTCATTGTCAAGAGCATATGCATATTTCATGTTTTGACCTCATTATGGTTTATCGTGGCAGAATAAATGATGATAAATTGGCTCTGAACCGTGGATGTATTTTTGCCTCAATTTTTGTCAACGATGGTTAATGGATTCACACATAAAAAGTCTGACACTAGATATTTTGCATTTCATTTTCGTGGTATTTATCGGACCTAAATTACTAGAAATTTTTAAACATGAAAATAGGAAAACAACAATGTTTTTATATTTAGCGGTGTTTTACCAGGGTACCGCCCCTAAGAGCAAGCTAAACAATGTATTTAGTGTTGCTGTGTCTTTAAAATGCCGTTCTTGCGGCTACCTTGCTTGTTTTTTTTGATGTAAACTTTTGGTATAATGTTTGACTTTTTCCCCCTTTTCGTTATTGATTGCTGTTAGACTTAATCACGAATGTCACTGTTCGTTGACTAGTATTGGTTTATCGCCCCTCCCTTCACCCCAAAACGTCATATTCACGTTTCTTCATCATATTGTTCGCATAAAGTCTATTTTCAGTGTGGTGAAAAAAAAGTGGGAAAAAAAAAAAAATTAAAAAAAAAAGTATATTCCAGGGTTCCATCTATTTCTTGGCTATAATAAATAATATCCCTCCATTTTTATTTTGTTTCAGCAATGTCGAAAACCTTACGATGTTAGAGACGTATTTGAACAATATTCTCATGGTTATGTTAACATAACTGTGCGATTGAAGGAATTACAAAGGAGATTGGATCAAACCTTAGGGAAGCCAGCTTCGTTTGTTGATGGTAAGATTCAAAATCTATTTCACAGTGACCACTCTCCAAACACTTTAATTAATATAACTTTGAAACGAAACTATTGTTCCAGTTAAACATTGCAATTTTTTCTATTCAAGAAGCTTATCATCAAATTTGCATTTTTGTCATTTATTGAGAATTATCGTACAATCTATCACATGGTGCCAACTACGTTTCATTCAGTCATGAATTGTACACTTATAAATAAGTCTACAGTAATATTTGATTATATACAACACTTTTCCGTTAATTGAAGATAGATAATGTCTGATGTTTCCATTTTTTTTTTATAAAAAAATTGTATATTAATTAATGTGGATGCTATGCAAAAAGGATAAGGATGCTGTTGGTATATAATATTATACTAATAAGTGGTGAATTCTTTGCCTTTTATACCCTCGTAAAATTCATTTTATGTATGTAATATTTCTATACTTCAAACTTTACAGAATCCGATTTGGGACAGGATCGCCAACGTGTGACAGCCGGATTTCGTTTACGAAGACTCGAGCAAAAGGTAGAATAACACAGGGATGATTTCGTTCAATAATTAGCTCGTTCGCTCCGTGGGTCAAGGTCATTTCCCATTTTCTAACCCAGAATATAAGATATCGGAGAGCATTCAAATAGTTTATAAGTTTTTACAAAACAATTTTTAAATATCCCATTAGCGTTTTACTTATTCGTTTGAAATGAAATTATATTTTCATTAATATTCATTTCTGTGGACTTTATAGGATTTGTTTTTTGTTTGCAAAAATTGCGCACCTTGTGGCAGTTCCGCGTTCGTTTCGTTCTGGTGGTCATGCGAAGACGTGAAGACTGTGTTGTCGTTAGTCTACTGTGACAGATACCCGTGCTACTTTGTTATGGCTTTCGTGTCCACGTATTTAAGCATAACTTTCTTGTTTACAATTACACTCATTTTCACAGGTGGACACAATAGAAATCAAGTTGGACGAATTACTGAGAAGATTGCCTCCAGTACTGGAACCAAAATCAGCCAAAAAAACCTGAACAGAAATCACATAGTGCACTTTTTTTCTGTGCCATTGCAGAAAACTCTATTCTTGTGATATGAAATGCTGTTACGCATCGAAGGAAATGACAGAATGTTCCACGTCAATACCAAGCAACAAGGGGACGGTTTTAAAACTGAAGAATGGAAGCCGATGTCATAAACAATACAATATGGTAGTCGTTGCCATTGTAACTATATCTGCAAAACTATAAATTATTAAATTTATTTAGCACACTGCAACCAAAAATCTTCTTGACGTAATATTTAATTTCTTACTTTGATTTACTGTCATCAGTCTTGACTAAGTGTTGCATTAACCAGTCCACCAGTTTATCCAATGATTCCAATTGTTAACACATCATGACAAATTTGGCCCTACATTCTCTCTCCGCTGCCAATCCCGCAATATAAAACCTTATAATTAATTTATGATATAATATTTATTTCAATAACAAAGAAGATATAGATGAAAACGTTTTATGATTAGTTTTATCTGTTCCAAGTTGAATAGAACAGCTCTGAACTTCCGGCAAATATTTTAATAAAAGTAATACTTTTAGATAAGGTGGATAAACAAAAACAATATTACGTTATTCATTTCTGTAGTGATCACTTATAAAGAAGATAAAATGATTCGATTTTTTGCAATAATAATTAATATATATTACGGTAGATTTAAATAAGTTGTATTTCATTCTATTCATGTTGAAGAAAACGTCAAATTTAATGCTAATTATTTTATCACAATGAAAATATCTAAACTGATTGTTACGTCATCGACAATGTATTATTACGAATATATTCGATACAAGCATTCTAATAGAATTAAATATGATAATATTTAAAATGTAGTATTTAATTTATAATATAACTGATCTGGATATTTATTTACAATTTAATATTTATTTATTAGTTCGAAACTTCGTATTCGTACTCAATCACCTAGCAACGCGCCCTATATTTTATATCTTTTTTTATTCAATCATACTGCTACAATGTTAGCAATATTATTTCTACTGTTCTGATCACCAAAAGTTCACAAAGCTGTTGAAAATTGTATAAGTATTCGAATTATCAATATGAAAGAAATTATGCGAATATGTTCTGTTTTGATTGTTTCTTGGCGTTGCTAAAATTTTGCGGTGCACGCAACTTCACTAATCATAAGAGAAACTTTGAGGACATGCTAAACATCAAACTAAATTGCCAATTGGTCGATGTAGTAAATCATTTGTACAGTAATGGAATTTTTCAAGGCGCTAATAGTGTAACTGGTGTAATTGCATTCGTTTTTTGTATATATTGTTAGCAGAAGTAGCACGACTCATCATTTTAGACGCAATAAATGGTGCATTATAGTTGAAGCAAATATTGTTGCAATTTTAAACTGTTTTTGCTTTTTTTGTTATAACATATTTTTATTCAAAAAGTTTCTTTATACTTGAATTTTATTGTTAATTTGACCTATCAATAATTAGCAGTATTTGCACAAATAAAGCTCTGGCCTTATTGAAGTTTTACTGAAATATCAAATGCGGAATGGAGTACATTTCTGCGAATTAACAGACGACGTGGTGAATGAATTGCTGCGAATTAACAGACAACGTGGTACATTACTGCGAATTGACAGACGACGTGGTGCATTGCTGCGAAATAACAGACGACGTTTTCAGTACATTGCATACGCCATCTATATCCGAGTATTGGTAGGCTTACCATATATATGGAACAAAAAAAACGGAGATTGGACAAACCTTGGTTAGATTTCTAAGCTCAGTAGTATTCTAATCATTGACAAACGTGTATTTTCTCTCCGGCATTTTGAATAATCTAATAACAGCAGCACAGCTAACGTTCGATTTTAAATTGGCGTATTAAGAATAGAATAAATATGTCTAACAATATTTCAGTTCTCTTTGTCTCCCACTGAACTACTGAAGCGAGTCGCAAATCAGTTTCAAATGAGCTGCCTCCGCAATTTTTGTTATGATCGAAATAAAATTCTGACTACCATACTGCATGGTCAGGTCTAAAGGGTGGGATAACTTGTCAAATCGCGACTATTCCATCTAAATCGGAGCATATGCTGAACCTAAGTATCGGTATTAGGTAATTTGCACGATATCGGTCAAATCGATACAACGGTTGAACCGGATACGCTGTGCTTTTAATAGGAACCCTTCGACAGAGTGTTATCTTTCGCAGTATAATATTGGTTTCGATATTTTGACAATATTTAATACATTTTTCTGCCTCCTATGACGTGGCTCCACTTCGGACAAAAGGATTCATTTCTTTACACATGCCATGTTAGTTTTGAGTTAGCTTGTGTTTATATCAACGTTCACGGTGAAACAGTTTGAACTACCAATATGGAAAAAACTTTGGACCGCAAGATATCAAGTTTCATTCATTGTCTTAGAGTTTCTGAAATGAAAAATAGTTTAGTTTATGACATCGACATGCTTTTGTTTTTTTTTAGCAAATAATGCGATATTTCTCGTAGCATGCTTTTTCGTGCTGATTCCGCATTCTACTATATACTTGGACATATTGAACTGACTTTCAGTCATGAACTGTTATATACAGGCAATTGCTTCCCAAAAATTACAATTAGTTTAATACGTACTCAGAATGTTTGAGAGGCGGTTCCCCTGGAGATTTGCTCCGAGGTAAAATATGCATCACACATGATAAATTAAAATGTAACATATATTTTATACAAAATGTTGGTACAAATAATTCACTAGAGTTATTTTATTATAGCTAAATGAAAAATGTAAGTTGACGTGCACAAAAAGCAATTCGATTTAAAAATGTTGATTTTTGGACGTTGACTAAGACATTGGAGTCGCTAATTATCTTGAAAAACCGTGAAGTATAATGGGGTCAGTGAATACAGATTCGAAGCCTTACGTATATATGACAATTCTGAAACAGCGTTTAAAACTTCAAATTTGTATGTTTCCTCACGTGGTTGGAAAATTACGCTTGGCAGTTATCAATATAAAGCAATAGCGATTCTGATGAGGCCATAAGTTTTCTAATTAATAAAGTTTACTCGAGGTTGCTGACAAACAGTTGGGGTCAGGATTCTTCTTCTTATTTTCTCTGATTTTTCGTAACAAGAAAGAGCAGTATGATGCTCATGTAGTCGTTCCCAACAGCATCCTAAATTATGAAGTATCTCTGCGACTCTTTCATCTCGTCCCGGACCTTTTCTAGCCAAAGATTTAGCCATTTCTAGAGCTTTTTCAAACACTATTATCGACCTGCAATAAATAGGAAAGCGCATATTAGGCGATACTGTAATACAACTGTCCAAACCAAAATTTATTGCAAAAACAATTCAATGCAGATAGGCATTAAATTATATATTTAATTCAAAGCTGTATAAAAAAGAGTATTCTGCATGGAAGGACATAAATTACTTAAATAAATTTCGAATTTCTAGTCAACAACAAGTTTTTGTTCTGACTGTACGTGGTAGTAAATATTGCCACTTGGTATTCGTTACAGCCTTAACTAAATCTTAACATTTGGTTTATTCAGTAACAAAAGCCCCATTTATACAAAGCAATTTTATACCTGTGAATATTTTCATATTCTGCCCAAGCAGTGCCAAGATATACTAACGACTGCAATGTTTTTTCATGGATTGTGTCTTCTCCGAACATTAGTTTTCTCATATGAAGTGAATATTCAAAACATGTTATTGCTTTTCCCCATTGGTTTGCTTTGAGACAAATTTTGCCAAGCCTGTTCAAAAAGCATTCGGCAGATAAATGATATAAGCGAAAATATCGTTCGGAGACCGGAGACTTATCGATCGGAACTGCGGTTTCGATTCATGACTCTATAGTGACACCGCGTGTCCCATCACTAATTAATTAATAACTCGCTAATTATACGGCATAATTCATCCGAAATCAATAGACTTCTGGTCCACAATATGATGAATGCACATGCAATATTTGGAGCAGATTCAACCACGCCTTTGTGAGATATCGCGTGCATCTAACAGACACACAAACAGACAGACAAACAGACAGACAAACAGACAAATACCTATCAACATACTTACCGATCTAAAGATCGATAAGTAATAAGTAAGTAATCAAGTATTGGAATGATCAGATGAATTTTTTCGTTCTCGAGCAAATAAGATAATTCCGCTCACATATTTCTGTCAGAGGATTTTTTCTCGCATAGAAAATGTGCTGGCTTAGAAATACTGAATGATAAGTTGTGTGAAGTGGTACACAGCATTACGGTTGGATCGAACCTATTTCAGCAGTGTAGCAATGTAATGTCTTCGATTTTATGACCATTTACTTGCAACGGAGACTGAACAATTTTTGGAGTTATTGGCCAAAAGAATACGCTATACTAGTAAAGTGAGCCTTATCAAAAGACATGTATAAATAATAAGAAAAAAATGGGGCTATATTATAGTTACTGTTGAATTTTTGTACTTTTTAACAGACTTTCAATCAAGTTTATTTACCTGTCCAATGCATCTGCGCTGTCTGATCTGGGGTTTTCAAGTTGAATACTCGCTTCTTTCATGGCATGTTGAAATTGTTCAGCAGCCAGATGTTTGTAATCTGTAATATAATAATCACCTATAGATATTTCTTCAGTTTGAATTTCTACGAGAAATATTTCCTCAATTTACCACATTCGGCATACAGTATACGGAAGGTACTTTAAGATTATATGTTTATTGATATTGTTTTTATCTAAGGGTTCTGATAAGTGACATTTATCTCGCGTGATATTATTATAAAACACTGCACCTCCACAAAAATGATGCCTTTCGTCCCGGGAAATTTCATATGTACGAAATTCAAATCTAATTTTTTTTAAGGCAATGTGCGAAAACTTCAAAATCAAAACGGCTTTTTATACAGCAGTACAATATCCCTTTACGAATGAATCTATTAGAATGACAATTGACGTTATATATATATCCCTATTCGTGATAATAAATTGCAAAAACTTCTCTCCTCACTTTACCTGATGAAATTGCTATTCCTGTACTTTCAATTTTCTCAATCAGTCTTCTGTTCCCATAATTATCAACACATAGGTCCGGTATCTTTTTGTGTTGCTTATGATAAACCCATCTCCTCCAGTTCTTCGTTGTTTTATCGATATAGAGTTGATCGCCAGAACCTGTTGTTAGACTGCCAGTCCCATGAAATTGAACACAACTTGGAACAGTTAATTTTTCCATTGCTACAATAAAAGAAGTTGTGATTCTGTAATACTAAAATACTAGTTTTTAGAATAAATGTCTGAAGGAAAGTAGACTACCGGCACAACGAAACGATTGAATTTCTGACTCGTTATTTGTTACCTCGTTGGCTATTTGAATACAGTTTATAGGTAAATATCAGACTACAACCTTTATTACACGTTGGCATATTTTCTTATAATTTTGCAAGGTTTCGATCACTCAGTGTCGGAATCTCTCCCATTTCTATTGTATTATTCCTGACTATTAATCCAATGAACATCTAACCAATGACCAGCACAGCTATAGCTTCACCTAACCTTTTGTTAGGATATCAATGCACACCAAAGGCGTGGAATGGTGGATTTTAACGACATGTGTAAGCATTGGAATAATGGATACCTCTGTCATCGGATATCTATATTGAAACAGTCGTTTTGTTCAACCGCTTTGTAAACGGTGTGCGGTTACGCTTTCAAGAAAATTGTATATTTAAATACCATTTTGCTCGGTTTAAAATTTGATTGTATTTCAAAAATGAGTAACCCTCATAAATAGTATGTTTAATTTGCTTATTGTTTTCAAGAGCATTGTTGGGTTACCATTCTTGGTATATGGACAAATATTATGGACAAAAAGCAAGTGTGATGATTCTACCAGAAAATCTACAGATTTAAGCATATTTGCACATATACCTGTACTATTAGTTTATACCAGGGGTGTGCAACCTTTTTCGCAGGCGGGCCAAATATCAATAACTGGGTAAAATCGCGGGCCGCACCTTCATTTAACATAGGATTTCTGTTAGTTTGCAGGCACAAAATAGTTTCTTTTTGTTATTGATCTCATGCCGTCATCAGAGGGATTCCTTGCAGAAAACGCATAAATATCTTAAAACTGTAATCCAAATATATTGTCACACCCAATTTAAACGAATTCGGTGAGAAATTTGCTGCTGGATTCTTTTCCCGACTACTTTTATCCAAATTTGCCTAAATGCAGTGCTAGCAATTTGATATGACGCCCATTTTGGAAAAAAGTATGTAACCGAAAAGTGCCATATTTGAAGCCATGACTTTTTCAAATTAAAATCTTAGTTGAGATGTTTTTGGTGTAATACGCCAAGATTCATTTCCAAATACTTAAACTGCTTTCCAGTTGCTTATTCTTCAATTGTCTGTTCTTACAAATTCATTAGCGTCTGCTCCGCATTTTTCTTTCAATTGTTTGCTGCTCGGCAAGCTTCCTTGTGAATCGCGTTGTTCGCTTCGCTGTGAAGACGTTGTAACGTCATAGGCATAGATAATAAATTGGACTCGAATATAAGCTTTGCAACGCGAAGGGAACCAGATCAAACTAAATTAAAAACTAATTTAGCTTGCCGCACACCATTCAAAATTGGCATTTCTCCGCGGGCCGCACAATTTGTCCTCGCGGGCCGCATTTGGCCCGCGGGCCGCACTTTGCACACCCCTGGTTTATACTATTCCTTCACTTACAACCCCATGTTTTACGGTGTTACAGACTTGTCCGAAACTTATCCTATATTTATATATATAAGCTGTGTCACAGCTCATCTGTCAAGCTTGTCCCCAAATCACAACTTAACATGCTTGAATTTGTCAAATTGAGTCAAAATTCTTTATAATTGGCTAGAACAGTGGTGTGCAGAGTGCGGCCCGCGGGCCAAATGTGGCCCGCAAGAAAAATTGAGTGGCCCGCGGAGAAGTGCCAATTATGAATGGTGTGCGGGGAGCGAAACAAGTTTTTAATTTAGTTTAATCTGGTTCCCTTTGCGTTGCAAAGCAAATATTCGAGTCCAATTTATTATCCATGACCTTACAATGTTCTAACAGCGAAGCGAACAGAGCGATTCACAAAACTCACCGTTGCTGAACAGCGAGCAATTTGAGGAAAGTGCGGAGCAGACGCTAATGAAGTTACACCATTCAGTGTGAAAATAAATTTAAAAAACAGTTTTCAGAAATTTATACGTTTCAACTCATCATTCCTGCAAGGACCTCTAATAATGGCATATGGTCATAATTACAAAAAGAAACTATTTTGTGCCTGCAACTAATAGGAAGCCAATGTTAAATGAAGGTGCGGCCCACGTTTTTAACCAGTTTATGATATCTGGCCCGCCTGCGAAAAAGGCTGAACATCTCTGGGCTAGAATAATATTGAAATAGGACTGCGTAAACTGTTAGGTGCTTAAAATTTTTATTGCGAATTTGACACGCAACTTACGAAACTTGGTGGACAGTATTTTGTGTTAATATGACTTTCGTCCCTTTGTTAATTCTTCCTATGAATTTGTAGTAAATTTCATTCAGTTATCAAATGCACACATTTCAATTTTTTGGCGATTATCGGAAAACTTCTTGGAAATTGGATTACCTTTTTTCGTTCAAATACCATTTCTTATATATATATATATGCTGTAGTATATTATTTAAAAAGTCCACTTTTCAGCAATGCCAAATGCTGTTTACAAATTCGTTTGATTCCCGCATTTTCGGAATAAGTCGTGGGCATACCTTCAACTCTGTCTCCCCAAACATAGGTTAGCCTTTTGCTGAGTATACCCGCAATGTGAACGCTAACCCGGACTGTAAAACACTCAAAGCTACTTATCTATACGGCAGGTGTCGCTAGAGGTCAGTTAAGCAAACCATAGATATCTGTTACAAAAGTGAAGAATCGTAACGGCAGAGAATGTATCACACATAGCAATTTTCCGTATATTAAAACGCATTTTACACCACCAAGACTCTTATAAACCCCCGGACACGCTAGTTGTTGCGTCTGAGTTGGCAATTAGAAATGTCAGACCCCCAACCTTTTAAATATTCTTGGCTTCGCCCTTGGTTGGACCTAATTATGCTATCGTCGTATGCTAAAAATCTCGGATTCGAATCACATGCCCTCACCCAAAATGCAATAAATTTAGTGGACAGTGTCAACACGGAAATTCGCGACTGTTGAAGTGCAGGCGCAAATGTCCTCCAGTTGTACATGTTACATCTCTTACATTACACAATATTGTTGTTTGGTGGAAATCTATCCAAATTACATCACAGCGGATGAAGCAGGCAACGATACGTAATAAGATGAACAGTAATCTAAAAAAATGTCATCATACTATTTTCATCATATTACTTTCGCTAAAATAATATCATTCAGCCAGTGGAAATATAGTTAACAACATTATTACATATCAGTTGGTCTGTATGAAACAAAATTTTTTCACGTCAAATCTAAGCAAAAAGCTCGGTTGAGTGGAAATTGGATATATAACGGCGATAAACACACACAAAAAAAGTTAAAATTTCGAATAATGGTCATGATTCCAGAATGAAATAGGATACAAACCGATGTTTTTATTGTAGTAAATTACTTTTTTTTAATTTTCACGGTCAATTCTTTTGAGGACGATCGTTTGAATTTACGACTTACGTAACACTTTAACGACTTTTATTGTCGGATGTCTTGCTGTAACCATAATTCAATAACACATCGTCGTTTTTTGGTCTTCGTGCTATTTACTTTAAAGTTTTCTCTTAGGTTGGTTTTATCGCTATTTCAATGAGATCATAGCCATGGCGCTACGCGAGTTATTTATGGAATATTTACCTACTGTAAATAATATGCCACCGTCAAAAACGACCAAGGAATGCTAGTAGAGTACATAACTTTATAACTTGTATTCAATCCTCCCCTAATTCAAATATCAAACAGTGACATAACGTAAAATAGCACCTACGAGATCGAGTATTTTCTAGAATCTAGATCATAAGGAGGTACGTGGAGGAGTTGTGAGGTATATTGTTAGTCGATTCTCATAAAAAAAATATGAAATTCTTGGAAACGAATATGAACTGTATGCTTTTTAGTTACAGTAGATATAATCTAAAATGTGGTAATAATAAATATAAAGGTAACCCTTGTAGGTAAAACTAACAGCATATCATAGCATCAAAATTATTGCTGATTTTATGACACACGAGTGATCGCTTTAATTAATTAGCAACGTATAAAACACTCACCAAACATAGACAGCATCTGTTGTTGATAGCATCATTGGGCTCAAATGTTGATCATGGCATAACGCCAGTTGTTTAATTAGCTATCTAATAAGGGCTTGTTGGACACAAAGTAGGATTATAGAAAAGTGTTTCTGTTGTATTAGGACAAAAATTTACTTTACTCTATTTTTATAGGACTAGTCAACATAGCTTAAATATGAGCTGAGCATGAAAATGAACTACCGAAAAATCCAAATATTTGCAATTGTGTCCTAAGTTCTCTGCGCTTCCACAGTCCGTTGTTTTAACTCAAAAATTATCAAGTGATCAAACTTTGCGCCAAAACATTCGTTTGAATATTCAACAAATTTATGTAAAAATATTTCTATTTTGCTTGAGAGTTGTTGTGAACAAATACAACCAAAATGTTTAAAAAAAAGTCTGGTAAAATGACATATAAGGAAATCTAACACAGATTTGAATTATGCAAAAGGAATGACTGCCCTCACATCAAAGAACAATACATGTTGTTGATTTAAGTTGATGGCTTTTAACATTCAATAGGTTTTAGCAACACGATGAAATCTATTAAAACAAGTCGGATAAATGTGCACTCTAAGTACACATTTTAATGGGCTCTAGATGACTTAACGTTAAAAGGAGTACTAATTCTAAAGTTCAAACGCCATGAAACAGCGATGACGTAACGAGTGTTAATCATTTCCGAGGCGAAAGAAATTTTTTTCATTCTGAATTTTTACAGTAAAATACGCATTAGGATTACGTAGGAATCGAAGGAGTATAACAATAAATTGAAAATCTAGATCTATGCTGAACAATTGTGATATTTGTGTCGGTGATATATACTATAAAAAAAGCATATATCGGCTTATTGTGGCAAAATTGATAATTAAAAAAAAAGCTATGGCGATGATTTATTTGCCAGGCGGAAGATGAATTGAAAATTTTATTTTTTCTATCGTTAAAAACAAAGTA